ATTTATTCCAATTTATTCCAATTTATTCCAATTTATTCCAATTTATTCCAATTTATTCCAATTTATTCCAATTTATTCCTAATTTATTCCAATTTATTCCAATTTTCAATTTATTCCAATTTATTCCAATTTATTCCAATTTATTCCAATTTATTCCAATTTATTCCAATTTATTCCAATTTATTCCAATTTATTCCAATTTATTCCAATTTATTCCAATTTATTCCAATTTATTCCAATTTTATTCCAATTTATTCCAATTTATTCCAATTTATTCCAATTTATTCCAATTTATTCCAATTTATTCCAATTTATTCCAATTTATTCCAATTTATTCCAATTTATTCCAATTTATTCCAATTTATTCCAATTTATTCCAATTTATTCCAATTTATTCCAATTTATTCCAATTTATTCCAATTTATTCCAATTTATTCCAATTTATTCCAATTTATTCCAATTTATTCCAATTTATTCCAATTTATTCCAATTTATTCCAATTTATTCCAATTTATTCCAATTTATTCCAATTTATTCCAATTTATTCCAATTTATTCCAATTTATTCCAATTTATTCCAATTTATTCCAATTTATTCCAATTTATTCCAATTTATTCCGATTTATTCCAATTTATTCCAATTTATTCCAATTTATTCCAATTTATTCCAATTTATTCCAATTTATTCCAATTTATTCCGATTTATTCCAATTTATTCCAATTTATTCCAATTTATTTCAATTTATTCCAATTTATTCCAATTTATTCCAATTTATTCCAATTTATTCCAATTTATTCCAATTTATTGCAATTTATTCCAATTTATTCCAATTTATTCCAATTTATTCCAATTATTCCAATTTATTCCAATTTATTCCAATTTATTCCAATTTATTCCAATTTATTCCAATTTATTCCAATTATTCCAATTTATTCCAATTTATTCCAATTTATTCCAATTTATTCCAATTTATTCCAATTTATTCCAATTTATTCCAATTTATTCCAATTTTATTCCAATTTATTCCAATTTATTCCAATTTATTCCAATTTATTCCAATTTATTCCAATTTATTCCAATTTATTCCAATTTATTCCAATTTATTCCAATTTATTCCAATTTATTCCAATTTATTCCAATTTATTCCAATTTATTCCAATTTATTCCAATTTATTCCAATTTATTCAATTTATCATTTATTCCAATTTATTTCAATTTTATTCCAATTTATTCCAATTTATTCCAATTTATTCCAATTTATTCAATTTATTCCAATTTATTCCAATTTATTCCAATTTATTCCAATTTATTCCAATTTATTCCAATTTATTCCAATTTATTCCAATTTATTCCAATTTATTCCAATTTATTCCAATTTATTCCAATTTATTCCAATTTATTCCAATTTATTCAATTTATTCCAATTTATTCCAATTTATTCCAATTTATTCCAATTTATTCCAATTTATTCCAATTTATTCCAATTTATTCCAATTTATTCCAATTTATTCCAATTTATTCCAATTTATTCCAATTTATTCCAATTTATTCCAATTTATTCCCAATTTATTCAATTTATTCCAATTTATTCCAATTTATTCCAATTTATTCCAATTTATTCCAATTTATTCCAATTTATTCCAATTTATTCCAATTTATTCCAATTTATTCCAATTTATTCCAATTTATTCCAATTTATTCCAATTTATTCCAATTTATTCCAATTTATTCCAATTTATTCCAATTTATTCCAATTTATTCCAATTTATTCCAATTTATTCCAATTTATTCCAATTTATTCCAATTTATTCCAATTTATTCCAATTTATTCCAATTTATTCCAATTTATTCCAATTTATTCCAATTTATTCCAATTTATTCCAATTTATTCCAATTTATTCCAATTTATTCCAATTTATTCCAATTTATTCCAATTTATTCCAATTTATTCCAATTTATTCCAATTTATTCCAATTTATTCAATTTATTCCAATTTATTCCAATTTATTCCAATTTATTCCAATTTATTCCAATTTATTCCAATTTATTCCAATTTATTCCAATTTATTCCAATTTATTCCAATTTATTCCAATTTATTCCAATTTATTCCAATTTATTCCAATTTATTCCAATTTATTCCAATTTATTCCAATTTATTCCAATTTATTCCAATTTATTCCAATTTATTCCAATTTATTCCAATTTATTCCAATTTATTCCAATTTATTCCAATTTATTCCAATTTATTCTATTTATTCCAATTTATTCCAATTTATTCCAATTTATTCCAATTTATTCCAATTTATTCCAATTTATTCCAATTTATTCCAATTTATTCCAATTTATTCCAATTATTCCAATTTATTCCAATTTATTCCAATTTATTCCAATTTATTCCAATTATTCAATTTATTCCAATTTATTCCAATTTATTCCAATTTATTCCAATTTATTCCAATTTATTTCCAATTTATTCCAATTTATTCCAATTCATTATTCCAATTTATTCCAATTTATTCCAATTTATTCCAATTTATTCCAATTTATTCCAATTTATTCAATTTATTCCAATTTATTCCAATTTATTCCAATTTATTCCAATTTATTCCAATTTTATTCCAATTTATTCCAATTTATTCCAATTTATTCCAATTTATTCCAATTTATTCCAATTTATTCCAATTTATTCCAATTTATTCCAATTTATTCCAATTTATTCCAATGTTATTCCAATTTATTCCAATTTATTCCAATTTATTCCGATTTATTCCAATTTATTCCAATTTATTCCAATTTATTCCAATTTATTCCAATTTATTCCAATTTATTCCAATTTATTCCGATTTATTCCAATTTATTCCAATTTATTCCAATTTATTTCAATTTATTCCAAATTATTCCAATTTATTCCAATTTATTCCAATTTATTCCAATTTATTCAATTTATTGCAATTTATTCCAATTTATTCCAATTTATTCCAATTTATTCCAATTTATTCCAATTTATTCCAATTTATTCCAATTATTCCAATTTATTCCAATTTATTCCAATTTATTCCAATTTATTCCAATTTATTCCAATTTATTCCAATTTATTCCAATTTATTCCAATTTATTCCAATTTATTCCAATTTATTCCAATTTATTCCAATTTATTCCAATTTATTCCAATTTATTCCAATTTATTCCAATTTATTCCAATTTATTCCAATTTATTCCAATTTATTCCAATTTATTCCAATTTATTCCAATTTATTCCAATTTATTCCAATTTATTCCAATTTATTCCAATTTATTCCAATTTATTCCAATTTATTCCAATTTATTCCAATTTATTCCAATTTATTCCAATTTATTCCAATTTATTCCAATTTATTCCAATTTATTCCAATTTATTCCAATTTATTCCAATTTATTCCAATTTATTCCAATTTATTCCAATTTATTCCAATTTATTCCAATTTATTCCAATTTATTCCAATTTATTCCAATTTATTCCAATTTATTCCAATTTATTCCAATTTATTCCAATTTATTCCAATTTATTCCAATTTATTCCAATTTATTCCAATTTATTCCAATTTATTCCAATTTATTCCAATTTATTCCAATTTATTCCAATTTATTCCAATTTATTCCAATTTATTCCAATTTATTCCAATTTATTCCAATTTATTCCAATTTATTCCAATTTATTCCAATTTATTCCAATTTATTCCAATTTATTCCAATTTATTCCAATTTATTCCAATTTATTCCAATTTATTCCAATTTATTCCAATTTATTCCAATTTATTCCAATTTATTCCAATTTATTCCAATTTATTCCAATTTATTCCAATTTATTCCAATTTATTCCAATTTATTCCATTTATTCCAATTTATTCCAATTTATTCCAATTTATTCCAATTTATTCCAATTTATTCCAATTTATTCCAATTTATTCCAATTTATTCCAGTTTATTCCAATTTAAAAAATATCGACAATCGAAAGAAAACAATCGATTGTTCGATTAATCGATTTCGATGTTACAACACTACTCTCCAACCGTCTTACGAATTTTCGATCAGCCCACGTGTCCTGACGCGAGTTTTACAGTTTTTACCCATCCCACAAAAGTGCTCAACGCCGCTAAAGAAGTTTTTACTTCAAAAAAAAAACAGAAAAACCAAAATAAAGCAAACCAACTATAGAACCATTAAATTTAAAAATATACAAAGGAACAAGGTCAGGCTCTGTTACTAAATAAACACTGATCTGTATTATTTTACTGGATAGGATATAGCCCTCTATAAAACGTTCCGAAAAATTGGCCGATTTGGGCAAATAATATGGCGGACCGGATGTTATTTAACGTAACCTCTATTTCCATTTGTCATTTAATTGTGTCAACAAGCTACGATGAGATGTTTTTATTGTGGAAAACAAAGTAAAAAGAGTATGAAATAAACAATAAACGTTCATTCCTGAAGACACAATATGCTTCACGTTTCCATTTTTATATTTTCTTTCATAAAAAATCAAATCATGGGTGAAATTTCCCGAAGAACATCGCCCGCAAAAGGAATAGAAGAAGAATAAGAAGAAAAACTAATCAAATTATAGGTTAGGTATGTCAAATTATCCCAAATTTCAGTTATGTGAACCCACCATAATTTGCCCAAATCGACCAGCATTGTTGCACTTCCGGTCTCCTTAGTGGAACGATTTTTAAGTATGTTAAATATAGCCTATATCCTATCCAGTAAAATAATACAGATCAGTGTAAATAAATAGTTTAATGTCGTTCAATACTGCAGATATTAATTGTTAATCTTTAGTCTCACACTTTAATGATTTTTGTCACTTAATTCAAAATGAAGGTTTTGATATTGTAGGAGTAACAGAGACATGGTTAAAGCATAACATATGTAGTAACATAGTAAACTTGGAAACGTTTGAGAAGCCCTGGTGGCTGGCGTAGAAAAGAAATAAAATGATCAGTGTATAATACTTACGACTAACTTCTTGATTCCTAGTCCATATAACTGTGACAAGAGCTGCGACTAATGACATTCCAATAAGAAAGGCGATGCCTGTTGATAAGATGAGGCACCTCTCCATATGCGTTCGCCGCTTCCACCATATTGGCTTTCTGAAACAAAACAAATTTTAGTATGCTCCTTCTAATTTACCGATGTGCGGTTTGAACTCCATCTCAATAGACACTTGCATGAAACGCAAAATTACAAACTTCGTTACGTCAAACACCTTAATATCTAACGTGACCTGGGCCCATAATGTGTTGAACTTTCAGGGAAGTGACTGAAGAAACAAATGAAGAAATTTAAATTTTATAAACAGTATGTCTAAAATATTAACATAAATTAAATGTAATTTTGCCAATTTTAACAGTTATCACCACTAGATGCACACGATATGGTTGAGGTCATTCTATAAGAAAGGTTAAGTGTATACCCATCAAAAGAATAGGTCCGGTATTTTACACCCCAGTGTGCGGTTGCTGTAGCAGTTTTATATTGTTTGCTTTTTGTATTTTTGTCGGTAGGATATTGAATTTATACATTTTTACTTTCTTATCTGTATGTATACAGATATAAGGAAAGTATAGGAATCATGATTTTTTTCGACCTCGAGTTTTCGACGGATTTTTACGTTTTGAGGTCCCCTGAATCCATTTTGACTATTTTCGCGATGATGTCTGTGTGTGTGTGTGTGTGTGTGTGTGTGTGTGTGTGTGTGTGTGTGTGTGTGTGTGTGTGTGTGTGTGTGTGTGTGTGTGTGTGTGTGTGTGTGTGTGTGTGTGTGTGTGTGTGTGTGTGTGTGTGTGTGTGTGTGTGTGCGTACGTGTGTGTGTGTGTTGTGTGTGTGTGTGTCTGTGTGTGTGTGTGTGTGTCTGTATAACTCATGAACCGATACACAGAAAAACACCAAATTTTAAACTTAAGCTTTGTTTTAGCGTCCAATGAGCTGATTAGATTTTGGGCAGAGTCGGAACATTTGGGGGGGGGTACTTTATTTTTATATTTAATGGATTATATCTGTTATTTACGTTTGGAGAAGAAAATTTTACAAATAAAAGTTACTTCTAATATAATTATCTATAATTTTTGTTCTATGCAAAATTTTCCTAAAATGGTCCGTATTCGAGAAATTTAACAAAATGTAAAAAAATAATTTTTTATAAAAATTGTTCAAATAAAAGTTGTTTGTAATATAATTGTCTTTAATTTTTATTCTATACATAATTTCTCTAAAATGGACCGTATTCGAGATATTTGAGAAAATGTGTAAATTTCGAATTTTGAAGAAGCTCAAAAACGGATAAAGAAAAGAACATTAAATTTTAAACTTAAGGTTTATTTCGGCCTGACGTGAAATGATTAGATTTTGGACATAGTCGGAACATCTGGGGGGGTACTTTATGGAAGGCCACTTTTATATTTTATGGAATATATCTGTTAATAATGTTTGGAGAAAAAAATTGTTCAAGTAAAAGTTACTTCTAATATTATTATCTATAATTTTTGTTTTATGTAAAAATTTCCTGAAATGGTCCGTATTCGAGAAATTTGACAAAATGTGCAAAATTCTGATTTTTATGAAAGTTTTTGAAATAAAAGTTGTTTGCGATATCAATCTCTATAATTTTTGTTTATACATGATTACTCTAAAATGGACCGTAATGAAAAAATTGTAGGAAATTTAAATTTTTCAGTATTTTCGTTTTCCATGAATATCTATAGAAAAATGTTTCGCGGTAGATGTATGTGGACAATGTATATATTTAGTTTATCCTCTAAACATTTATAGAGATGCTGCAATAGGTTGTACAAAATAACCGGAAAAAGCCTGTAATAACTAGATAAGAAAGTCATGTGTTGGACACATCAGATTTTTAAATTACATATGGTATTGTGTTGACACTTTCATTGGTATTATCTTGTAACTGCCACTATACAGTTATTCTGGCGAATTTGAAATTGTTAAATTCCTCATTGAATCTCGAATGATTTTTTTATAGAAACATTTCTAATAATACCACAAAAAAATAAAGCACTATTTTATTTGTAAATTAGTATTTAAAGAATTAAAATTTGTTTTAGGTAAAAGCATCTATGGTTAAATTTGCTAAAATGTAAAAATAATATTAAATAAACTATTTAAAAATCCAAGAATAAAAATCTGATGTGTCCAACACATGACTTTCCTATTTAGTTATTACAGGCTTTTTCCGATTATTTTGTACAACCTATTGCAGCACCTCTATAAATGTTTAGAGGATAAACTAAATATATACATTGTCCACATACATCTACCGCGAAACATTTTTCTATAGATATTCATTGATAACGAAAATACTGAAAAATTTCAATTTAGCACTTTTCCATTACGGTCCATTTTAGAAAAATCATGTATAAACAAAAATTATAGAGATCGATATCGCAAAAAACAATTTTCATAAAAACCATAATTTTGTACATTTTGTCAAATTTCTCGAATACGGACCTCCCATAAAGTACCTCCCAGATGTTCCGACTTTGTCCAAAATCTACTCATTTCACGTCAAGCCGAAATAAAACTTAAGTTTAAAATTTAATGTTTTTTTCTTTATCCGTTTCTGAATTTTCTTCAAATTTCGAAATTTACACATTTTGTCAAATATCTCGAATACTGTCCAAATTATGTATAGGATAAAAATTATAGAGAATTATATTACAAACAACTTTTGTTTAAACAATTTTTATAAAAAAATATTTTTTTACATTTTGTCAAATTTCTCGAATACAGACTATTTTAGAAAAATTTTGTATGGTATAAAAATTTTAGATAATAATACAAGAAGTAACTTTTATTTAAAGAATTTTCTTCCCCAAACGTAAATAACAGATATATTCCGTAAAATATAAAAATGATCACATATAAAGTACCCCCAGATGTTCCGACTGTGCCCAAAATCTATTCCGATCATTGGACGCTGAAACAAAGCTTAAGTTTAAAATTTGGTGTTTTTCTGTTTATCGGTTCATGAGTTATGCGACACACACACACACACACACACACACACCCACGCACGCACGCACGCACGCACGCACCCACACACACACACAACACACACACAACACAACACACACACACACAACACAACACACACACACACAACACAACACACACACACACACACACACACACACACACACACACACACACACACACACACACACACACACACACACACACACACACACACACACACACACACACACACACACACACACACACACACACACACACACACACACACACACACACACACACACACACACACACACACACACACACACACACACACACACACACACACACACACACACACACACACACACACACACACACACACACACACACACACACACACACACACACACACACACACACACACACACACACACACACACACACACACACACACACACACACACACACACACACACACACACACACACACACACACACACACACACACACACACACACACACACACACACACACACACACACACACACACACACACACACACACACACACACACACACACACACACACACACACACACACACACACACACACACACACACACACACACACACACACACACACACACACACACACACACACACACACACACACACACACACACACACACACACACACACACACACACACACACACACACACACACACACACACACACACACACACACACACACACACACACACACACACACACACACACACACACACACACACACACACACACACACACACACACACACACACACACACACACACACACACACACACACACACACACACACACACACACACACACACACACACACACACACACACACACACACACACACACACACACACACACACACACACACACACACACACACACACACACACACACACACACACACACACACACACACACACACACACACACACACACACACACACACACACACACACACACACACACACACACACACACACACACACACACACACACACACACACACACACACACACACACACACACACACACACACACACACACACACACACACACACACACACACACAATCGGAAAAATAGTCAAAACGGATTCAGGGGACCTCAAAACGTAAAAATCCGTCGAAAACTCGAGGTCGAAAAAATCATGATTCCTATACTTTCCTTATATCTGCATACAGATAGGAAAGTAAAAATAATTCTAATCAAAAATTGCGTCTTATTAGTTTTCGATACTCACGCGTCGATTCCTCATAGAATAATCATGCTCGAAGTGACAAATTATGATATAATATTTAAAATGATACAAAAAAAATGCTTATTAATGAATCGAGTGACATTGACTATTTAATTATTTTATTCATCTTTTGAAAATGGTAATTTTGTATAAATATATTAACTTTGAATGAACGTGTTTCAATTTGACCTTCACCTATCGTATTATTTAAATTTCTAACAAAATCTGCATGGTCTTAAATCTTTTTTTACCTTCCTGTCTGTGCACAGAAGAAATATATAGAAATCGTGATTTTTTTTTGACTGTTTTTGGTTTTGGGGTCCCTGAATCCGTTTTGTCCATGATTGTGAAAAAAATTTGAATAAAAGTGGGTGGGTTATATTTAAAAAAGTTCTAACTCAAAAATGAATATTAACTTGAATTTTTTGGAAAAAATCAATCTCAATAAGGGGATGAAGCCTATTGATTCTGAAAAAAAAAAAAAAGGCGAAAACTCTAGTTTATTAAAAGTGTCCAAGATTCTTGTTGACAAGTTAAATTTCATGTAGGGAAGAGCTTTGTTCCCATCCATAACCTTTAAAACTATTACAGATTTATTAAAAGAAGAAGTTGATATAGTTGAAAAACTCAACAAAGCACAAAAAAGTGATAAAGATAAGGACAGTTTCAAAAAAAACTATCCGAATTGAACAATAGAGTCATTGTTCGATGTTATATGTAAAGATATACAGGGTGTCCTTTAAAATGTGTCCCAAAATTCTCAGGCAGATTCCTTAACCAAAAAATGGAAAAAAAGTTCCTATAGACCTATGTCCTAAAGTGCCCCCTAAGCGAGCAACAGCCTCTCGAAATCATTTTTTTTATTTTGATTTTTTGAATTTTCTTAAAAATGGAAACAAATAAAAGAACCAAATTTTGGCTGTTAAATATGATCAATAATAGTGACCTTTTGACACCTTCAAAAAGAAATTATT